ATATTCATTTTTGTTCCTATATTTATGAAAAAGTCAGGGGACAGGAGGAGCTTTTTATCTCCCAGTTAATGCCTCCATTCAGTGAGCCCCTTTAAACAGCCAGTGAAGCAGAGTAGATACTCTGGAGAGAAATTAAAGGCACATTACATTGCTGTGCTTTGCCTGTGAGATAGTTCTCTCCCCCTCCACTGACCTGGCTTCCTAATGAGGCCTGTAAACTAGGGAATCCCTCAACAAGTGTGCTTTCTTACCAGGTCTGCAAAATGTCCAGGATACCTGCCTGGCCTATTGGTACCTCTGATCAAATCAACTAGCACCACTGGAGATCAAACAAGAACTAAAGAAATGGAATTGGCAGGGGCAGGTTTAATACCCCAAGCCTATTAGGGGAGAGAATGCAGTATTATTGATTCCAGCCCCTGACCTTGGAGTGATATAAACAGGAGTGCAGCAACCCTAGAGGAGTTGTAGCAAAACAGTTATAGCATTGCAAGCAGATTAAAAATACAGTTAATATACATACTTCCCCAGATGCTTGTTCATTATTATTCAAGACATGTTTATTATGCAAAATGATAAAGCAGAAAAAAAGGAGAGGAAAAGAAAATGCAAAGACACACTGAGCTTTTAGCATGACTGGGGTTTTCTCAATGCTGCTTAGAATTTTTTTTTTTATTGTGCATAATCATTCCCTTATTAGCAGGAATCTTTGAAGTGATTCAGGCTCTAATTTCAGCATTTCAAACTCATAGGTTTATATTGAAAAACCATAGTGAGCTCCTGTAAGTGACCCATTTTTTTTCCCTCTGTATTCTCTATCTCTGCTAGGGTTTTCTACGTCTTCCCAATAAATTATGCATCACAATTTGCCATTTCAAAAATAATTAGAACTCCAAGTTAAACAACAAGGAATATCTGAGAGCAATACATTTTAGAAGAGAAGTGTTTTGCACTTGGGGCAAAACCAATCCCAGCTGCATTGCCACTGAATTATAGATATCATCATATTGAGAGATGCACTTTCAGTGTACTTGGAGTGATCGGGTAGCCTGTGGAGACTCTACAGCCCCATGACGAAGAGAGATGCACTTTCAGTGTACTTGGAGTGATTAGGTGGACATGGGGAGACTCCACAGCCCCATGACGAAAATCTGCTCCAGGAGAACCAGCTTTGCCTCCCAGACAAAATACTTCACAAGCACTCCCTTTCCTATGGCCCTGTGAGGTGTTGCAGGAATAACAGAGGGAAAGCTGGGAAGCGAGGGGAGAAACTTCACAAAGTAACACAGGAGTGGAAATTAATTTGATGCTGGAACTATTAACTCCAGACAGACAGGAGAGCATGCTCTGAGTCTTCTCCTGTTAGGATTAGGCTGCAAACTCACTGGAGCAGGACAGACCTCTTTATGCCACATTTCTGAACCCTGTGCAACAACCAGCCCATGGTCTCAGATTCTTCCCAAGTGCTGAGGCACTGTAAGTTATACCCCCTGCCCTTCGTTCATTCTGTGCATTTTTACTTTGTCATCAAATGCTAACAGTGGATTTTCAGGAGAGTCAAGCCCCTCCCCAGAACAGAGGCTGACTGAAACCTTTGTGCACCCTCAGGGAATTTACAGCTGCTGTACATTACAGGAAATCCAAACAGAACACACCAATGACTCCACAAGCTTGCTATGCAGACAGTGGCTTGCATCCTACTTTCTGCAAAGCAGGAAGCCTCCAACCAAAGCATGATTTTCTTGTCTGCTTATCCCCTAATTCCCATGTCAACCTCAGAGATAACAATAACCTAGTCTGGGGGAAACTAAAACAGGTATCTAGTGTGAGTAAGCAATGCACAAGTCCCAAACAACTGCTTCCCAAACAAAGAAGGTTTAGCATCTAATAAATTTAGGTCTCTAAAGCTGGCTAGGAATATATGGTTGGCTTCAACCCAGCCTGACACTATCCCTGCCTGAACAGATGAGGCAGGGATGAGGAAACTCATTGCTGAAGGTAGTGATGTGGCCAAGCCATCGGAAGGTCTTGCAAGTTTCTAGGAAATGCTGTCTCACCATATTTGGCTTTAGAGGACTCTACTCAGCCCTACTTTTGTGCTAATCGACAGAAGGAAGACTTTTTCCAGGGGCTGGTTATTCTAAGCCCATTCATTCAAGAGCCCATTGGCCTAAACTCAGAAGGAGCTGGCACAATCCTCCCTAAGACCAGGCTGATAACAGCCTCTGGCTTGATCCAGGACAGAGGATGTCAGCCAAGACCTCAGCTGTCACGCAGAGATTAAACTTCACTAAAAACCCCACAAAACAAAACCAAAGCAAACCCACAGTGATGACATGTTCAGTTACAGCATCAATCTGGGTTCAAGAGGAGGGAAAAAACCTCAACCCGAACCAAAAACAAACAAACAAACAGGGTAAAAAACCATTACCCTGAACAATTTTATTTGAAACCAGTCCTGGACTTGAGGGGGTTCTAAGAAGTCATTACAGAGCTTCCACGCAGCATGGAAGGCAGCCAAGCAATTAATTTATCAATTGGCTCATGTGAGTGAATGATATCTGTGGGGAATGTTGACCCGTTTTTTTCAGAAATCCCCCCAAAAAGGATAGTGAAAAAAGCCCAAGTTTCTTTTCACACAGAACAAATCTGTAGTTTATGGTCTGCTAAGCAAAGCCCAGGGACAATGTGTCCCTCGGTGTGGTCAGAAGTGAGGTCCAGGCAGCATGGCCTGGGGACCCCACAAGGAAACCTGCAGCATCCAAACGAGACTGCCTAAACAGGTTCTGAGCTCTTCTCGGACATATCCAGTTCTTTCATGGCATCCTGATCTCATCCCTTGTCCTTTATGATGAGCTTGACCCACACTCCCTGCTCCTAACACACTTTATCCACAAATTTTCTATTTTCTTGCCTTGGGGTTTGCTCCCAAGCACAGTGAATTCATTCATTTGCTGCTGTAAGACAAAGACACAGCCACCAGTCATCACAAGGAAAGTATCCAAAAAGGTCCATCACCCTGGAGTAGAGCATCACATATTTATTGGAAGCAGAAACCTTGGATCACATTGATAAAATGAACAGTTTCACTCTTACTAGCTCAGACAGAGCTCAATGCCATCAAGCTGTGGCATGTAATGAGGTTCACTTCATTAACCACCGGCCATCACAGTGCATCCTTCCCCATCAGCCTTCCCTGATTAACCTTCTTACTCAAGACAGGCACACTTGTTGGAAATAAGCAAGCCCATTAAATCTGCCTCATTTGAATACATGTGTGATCTGGTGCCTTTTAGGATACTTGAAATGACTAACAGATGTGTTTCCTGGACAGCATGGTCTTCCTGCTGTCTACCACCTCTTGGTGTGTCCCTCCCACCCTTTATATCGTGTCTCACTGCTACTAGAGAGAGAAAATTTTTCTCTGCATCTCCTCTAGTCTCTCAGCTGTCAAAGATCATTTTTTCAACTCTTCTTTTTCCCAAGACCCACACCTTTCCCTCCCCTGCACTACTTGTTCAGAAAATGATGACTGCTCATTGGTCCATTGGCTGGCTGTGATTGTGTGACACACTCTGATTTCCTGCAATCCTCATTTACAGCGTACTGATGGTGCAAGGAGACTTAGCACTGGGCCAGAACTGTGTTCTGCACTGCACAAACAGGGCAAAGCATCAGTCCTGAGCCCCTGACAATGTGCCCAGAGGGACATACACACAATAATGCAGTACCACGCCGTGCTTGGTATTACCTTCAGGACTCTGATAGCTTTACAAAGAAAGGAAGTTTTCATTGTTTGTAAACCTATTTAATTTATTTAGAAGCAGTCAATTATGTTTACTGGGCTATGAAAGAACAGGAAGCGTCTGGCATCCACAGAGATCCAGACTGATCTTTCTGTCTCTTCTTGACAAGCAGCCAGTTTTGAGACCTATCTCGCCAGGCATACTAACACCTCCACTTGCTTCCTACCCTGAGCTGCTGGGGAGACAGAGCCTTGCCACATCCCAAGGGAAAAGGGGAAATCTCAATCATGTGACCAGTATAAAACTGACCAGGAACAAAGATGGAAGATAAAAGTAATGAAAAATCGCCTAGAGCAAACCAAACTGCTATCCTTTCAGTGGTCCCATCTCCATGCTCACACACACTTCTGAAGCAAAAGTAAGTGCCCAGACAAGAGCAGAATCACTGCATTGTAAATTTACACAAAGGCAGATGAGATTAGAATCTGGCTATGCACTGTAAAGCTATCATAACTACAGAAATGAGAAGTGTATTATTAACTATCCCTTTTTACTATGTAGAACTAGAACAAAGTTATTTGAAGCATAAAAATTCTGGCAAAGGGTTGCCATATTTAATAAATCACTGAATCAATTATTCACTGTGAAAATCAATTACTTATTTTAAATGAGAATCTTATGAATAACCTCATGCCCTTTCATGCCATCTAAGAAAGTTGTAAGGGAATTAGTCGGCAAAAATTGCTGCACTTATCTTTTACGTGCTTTAAAAAGACCACACAAATACAGGGAATTTCTGCCAACAGAATAGTCCAGAACCCTTTTAAGAGAGTCAGGGTATTGCTGTGGATTTACACTGCAGTCAAAAGCAGAGTATGACCCATTGGGGTACCACCTATGATCGGTTATCTGGGTGCAATTCAGAAGCAATCCCAGTGAGTCCATGCCATTTCACAAATGAGAAATCAGAATATGACCAGCCAACTCTATACAAACGCCTCAACAACGTGACCTACATTAAGTATATACTTAAAGGAACCAAAAGTGTATCTTCACAGGTCAGGAAATATTGCCATGAATCTCCATGGAGACACTATTAAGTGAATATTGCATGGTCTTGCAGCAGCTCCCCCCGCTCCTGCTTTTAAAGGTTTGCTGATATGTGCTTGTTTTCAGGAAAAGCTGGAAGTCCCGGCGCAGTCTGCTTCCTCCCACCTACAAAACTCCAGGAGCCCAACAGTGCAAAGTACTCACTGAGCTGTAGAGATATCCCTCAGCGTTCATGGCAACGTACAGACCTGCCTTCACCCCTTGGATTGCCACCACGCGAAGACCCACAGGAATTAGATTGAAAAGGGCTGTGGAAGGAAAAGAAAAGCAAATGTTATGGACACATCACCCTACATGGCCACTGCTAATTTTGCCCCAGGGCCAGCCCACCCCACTCCTGCCTCTTCACAAAAGTGACTGCACTAGGATCAAGCATCCTGCTTCCAGATACAGGGAAGGACTGCAGCCATGGAGGTGATGGTGAAAGGAAATTTTTAAGAGTACTGAGTTTGGCTGCCTCCCAAATGCCGTAACACACCCATCAGTCTGTCTGATCACTGCCTTTGCAATGCCAAGGGCTCATCCGTGCTCCCAAGCAAGAGCATCGTGACGGCTTTTTGAGGGCCCGCTGAGCCAGGGCAACTGCACATAGATAGACTTTGCCTGTGGCAAACACAACAACACAACTCAGTTTAGCTCCCCCTGAAACACATTTAAGCCTAGTCACACTTTCCTGCATTTGCCATATGCTAAAAGAGGACACAGACAGCGACCATGGCCAGAAGAATGCAAATTAACTTGACTGTGTGTTTGCCCATGTGATCCTGGGCTGTCAAGGGAATGAAGAAACTCAAGAAGAGATAGTGCTTCACTCTGGGACATCAGCACTGCTCCCCATTCAGGACCAGCACTGGAGAGGACAGAAGAGGACAAGATCTTCAATTATTCAGTTTTACTGCAGTCTTATTGATTAAAGCATTGCAACCACTTCCTCTCAGTTAATTACTTTATTGCTTGATTCCCACCCAGAAGACCCTATATCTCATTGAAAGACTCTTCCCATGAGTATATACATTAATGTACTGTCAGGCTTTTGCTACACTTCTAACAGCATGGGCTCAAAGAGGAGACTATTATCAGCACGGATAGACTGAGCACTGAAGCATTAGCATGGCTTTGTTTCTACTGAGCTTTATAGGACAAGAGTATTTAGATGTTGCAGGATCCCTTGTGCTTCAGCTTACAAAGAGCTAATTAGAACTCATCCCAGGAAGCTGAAGATAGGGAAAGATGGGCACAGGGTCAGGCAGAAATATAAGCACAAACACAGTGGAAATACTTCACTCAAGGTCTCTTCCTACGCAACAGCCCTGAAACAAGAATATGCAATGCCACTTTGCTCAGGACATCTACCAGGTGTCTTGGCTGTGCTGGTTTCAGGGTTGCCTCCAAAAGAGGATCAATAAATTCCAGTGCATATGAATATAATTTTTTCTTCACTTAATTCCCAAGGATGACTGAATGATTTCCCTCAATGAGCTGCCTAAAATGGAGACATCTCAAATCTAGTAAAAAAATCCCTCATCTCAGCCTCCTCTTGTGCTTTTATGCACCATATTCCGTAAAACATCAAAGCACGTGCTGAAGTCTTACCAAATCCAGTGCCTGTATGTGTGTTTTTGAGGGACAATGTCAATAGATGTATATGGAAAATGCAGTCCAGGCCAGGTATTGGTCTGTGAATAACTGGAGTCAAGGACAGTGCTACTCTGGTACTGTCCCTAGACAAGACAAACCCATCCCCGAGTAACTACTCAGCATTAGAAGTGTTGCCTATCCCTTTCTCCTGACCATGAAGGTCTAAAACCTTCTGCAATTAACAAGTCTATAAGCAATTCCCCTTCCCTATTTCTTCCTCCTACTGAAAAATGGAGCATATTACTGCTAATAATGAAAAAAAATGGGCATCATCATTCATTTCCTACAGCCAATTTGTCTTGCATAGGGAACTTGTGACAGACCATTCAAAGCATTCATTAGGCAGCAAGGTGATAACACCCAGAATTAGTGGTTGAGAAGTTCCACTTGGAAGCACCCCCGTGTCTCCAAATCTCTTTTCACCTCTACATGCAAAGGGAGCAAAGGAACAACCCTGCTGTGCTGTGCTACAGCAGGAGGACCACTGCCACTTCCCAAACTCCCTGGGACCCTTCACCCACGACCATGGCAGAGCATCTCCTCCTCTATGCAGGGGAGCAAGTGGGCAGGCAAGCATGAGGACACAAAGCTGACAGAGGTAACTGGCAGCCAAAAGAAGTTTTAAGAAGCAAATATCTTCCTCTATTAAAAAAAACAGTGGTTTGGGTCAATCAAGATTCTGTAAATTCCCAGAGCAACGTCTGCACTCCAATCTAGAAATGCCTTTGTAAAAGTTGATGCCTTTTACTATGATGCTTCCAAATAAACATTTCATATTTTGAACAGATTTAAAAGCTTATAAGCTTAAAAGTAAGAATGTAAAAATGGAGGAAAACCCCTCAATCAACCTCAAAAGCAAGAGGTCTCATTTTTCGTCTCAAAAAAAGATCTGATTCATTTGAAACAGCAGATTTGAAAACGGGAAAGAGGACTAGTTGTGGTAGAATAGAACTGGACACTGAGGGTGCTGATGTGAGAAAGAGAAAAATTTAAAAATGCTTTTAAAACTGTTTCTTTACTGCAAATGGCACATATTCTATGCCATCTGCAACTTCATGGAAGGAACATGTTCTTTTACTTCATGGGCAAAAGGGAAAAAAACTTAAAGATATTGAATATTTGTGCCCCTTTTCTTTCATTACATCTTACCATCTTCAACCCGTGGTATTTACACCTAACCCTACTACTTCTAGCACACTCCAGTCCTAAATGCATGAGTATATTGTCACTGTTATGTTATGGTAATTTATCAGCTAAATTCTGAATGCATGATTCCCTATGGGTCTAAGTTATCTACAGAAAGGGAAGAGTGAGGCAAGACCTGCCATATATAAGATGTGCTCAGCTTTAAACAGCAGCAAGTCAGAGGAGCTAAAGTAAATGATAACAGGTGATTTGCTCCTGAGCAAGACATTTGTGCTGCACATGAATAGCAAAGAACTGATGGAGGATGCAATAGGCCAGAGCAGCCTCAGTGCATGAGGAGGTGAGGATTAAGGTCCTGAGGGGAGTGAGGAAGGCTGCTGAGATGATCAAGAGGCTCTGGTGCAACATATAACGAAAGAAGAGACAGAGGGAACTGCATTTGCTGCACTCAAAGAAGGCAAAAATTCTTCTCAGAGGAACACAATGAGAAGACAAGAGGCACTAGACAAAAGCGTTAAATAGAAATGAGGACTGGATATGAAGAAAATTCTCTACAAAGAAAATAGTGCAGCACTGGAACCCGAGAGGTTATGAGAGGTTATGCAATAGCTAATTGCTAGAAATGTTTGAAAGAACTCGACAAGGCTCTGTACAGCTGAAGATAATCCAAGTGGGATGCTGGAATGCAAGCCTCTTTAATATTTTGATGTTTCTAGCTGGAAATCCCAAAAAATAGCCTAGATATGCTGGGCTGATTCCATCTGTTCAGTCCAGTTCACCTATCCTTTCTGTACTGTCCATTTGCCAAAGCCTTTCAGATGTTCAACATGATGATGTGGGCAGACAAGGAAGTCCACTTGCTTCTATGATGGGGCATTACCCTGCTCAGCCCAGGAGAGAGCAGTAACAATGCAAGCACTGACAGCAGCAGTGAGCCCTGAAAGGCCATTTGAGATCACTGAAGCTGGGAGGAAAAGATACTGCCCCAAGCTGGGGTTCATACATCACAGGAGGAACACAAACAGGGGCCATACACCACGAAAATACACTCCAGTGGGAAGAAAACTCTTCACATATGCCAATAGCCAGAGAATGTGCCCCCTTGCTTACATTGAGATGGCACGTCTCTAACAGCATGGCAGAAGGAACAGATGTCCCAAGTGCTGGCTCCTGGGAAGCTGGATGGATGCCCATTCAAATGCCATTATAATTTGGCTTCTGGGTTTTTTTTTTTCTTTAAGTGAGTGGAGGTGGAAAGTAAATGCCATCAGCTTCAAGAACATAAAAAAATGGGCAACAGATAATTAATTTTAAAATTGCTTAAATATTAGCAGTTCCTCTTGCATAAATAACTGGGTTTTTATTAGAACTTTTAATTCCATCAGATGTATCTGAGGGACATGGCGTGTCTCATTTTAAACATTTATTTTGTCAGAGTAAACCAACCTAATGTATTCCATGAAAATTATGCATCATTTCACAATGCTAATTTGAATAATCAGTGTGGGGATACAGAACACAAAGCAATGTATGGAACACAGTGTTCACCAACTGTTTAACTGTGCTAAGATGACTTCTGCATGGAGAATAGATGGTGATCTAGGATGGGAAGGATCCTCTTGTGGCCCTCTAGAGTGCCCTTCCCTGCCGTGGATGCAAGTTAACCAACTGCTCTTCAGGGATGGGAAAATATTATTTATCTAGTCTTTGATGAGTTGTGCTCTTGCACACACTTCTGACTGGCTGGTCAGGAATCTTCTGCAGAAGCACTTCAAAACAGAAAATTGCAGTGAAGCAAGTCTGTAAGCTGTTCACTTAGACAAGCAACTTTGGACGTTCTTCTGGTCAAAATTGGAGATTTTTTTTGGAGGAAGAGAAACGAAAAAAGGCAATCAGCTTTATTTTGGCACTTCCAAAGTGCAAAATGTGATTTCGTCTCAAAGCTGTAACTGGAAGCTTTATATATTCTAAAATGTTCATTCACACTGAAGATTTATTGATGAGACCATGTGGTAAAAAGCTATATAAAATTGAATAAAGCACAGTCCTAATTTCATTTTCAGGAGCCAAATATTATCAGGTTGGATATTTCCCTCTTTTGAGATCCCCTGAGATCAGAAGCTGGGGAATTCTTTGGCTTCAATCTTCTCTCAAAAACTTGCCTAAACTTTCCAGCATAGTCCCTGACTTCGAGCCAGTGGCTTGGCACACTTCAGTGAGATGCCTCCTGTCCCACCAAGCTGCCGAGGCAGGGATGCCATCTCACCAGATAAATTTACACTCTAGAAGTGTACTTCAGCCCATCTATTTCCAGTTAAGAACACTGGGTGGAAGCAGCTCTCAAGTACTCAGCACCTGGCCAAACTCCTCTCTGGGAGTTTCTCGGGGGGATGTATAAATCACAGCTCTTTGGGCAATTGGGGCCCAGCCTCAGCCACGGGAACTCAGGAGGTTCCTCTGCAACCACTGAGAGTGCAGCAGCTTCCCTCATCTCCCCTGTCACTCTGAAATATTGCAGAACTGCTCTTACATCTCTCTGCTGTTTACCTAAATTCATCCCTGCTCCCATTTAAGCCCATTACTTTGTTGTTCAATCCTCCATGATAGATGAGGGCAATGAATCCCTGTCATCTCTAGCATATCTTCCCATATTTTTGACAAATAGGTTTCCAATGGGATTTTCTGCAGTTCAAGTTTAAGAACACCCCAGGTCTTCTTCCTTTAAGAAAAGGCAGCTAATACAGCCTACTGAACTCACCCCATGTGCTGGGTCTGTCTGAGAGAATCTCAAGGCCAGACTTTTGAAGGAGACCTCCTGAGTCTGAGTGTAGAAGTGTGTGTGTCTAAGTCCACAGATTCTCCTGCTTCACACATAAATCAGAAATTATCTTATTGCAATTTGCAGTATTTAATTTCTTCAATATGAGTGTAGGAAAAAGGACTAAAACCTGACATTTGCATTTGATACAGAACACGTTTCTGGTGGATGCAGCCTCCTGAGTCATTGCACAAGGGCTTTGCCAGCCACCTGCAATTTCAGTCACCATCTTCCCACGGCTCCTCTCTCCTCTATGGACCCTCAGCCCTGAGCTGCCTGCAGCAGGGCAGCCCCAGAACACAGCATGCTCCTGCTACAGCACCCTGCAGCTTCCTGGGGATGGGGTAAACACCAGGGATGTGGGGCTGCAGCCACCCTGCACCCCTGTCCAAGTGCACCTTCACAGGACAATGCCAACGCTGCACCCCTACAGACACCTGCAGCCCAGGCCCTGCCCTCCTGGAGGAATGCCACCTCCAATCCAGCCAGGAGCTTTGAATTAAACCAAAATTTGTCTGCAAATCAAGCAGGCTCCTCCTTTCACAAAGTACATAAAGTTTGCTTCCATCAACCCTATCACACAGATTAACATTTGTTCACCTCTAATAATGACTGGCCAAGCTGGCCAGGTTAAATACCCCTTTAGCAGTGGTACAGGGAGCTCCAAACCAACATAGAGAAGAAAAAGCTAGACTTGAATCCTACCCTGTTGATGCAATTTGTGGCAGCAAGGATCTGAGCTTAACTGCCCACTCAGGGACAGCACTCTGATGCCTATGAAATGCAGAGATGCTGCCAAAAATATTCTACACCTTTTTTAACCTTTTGAAGAGTTTCAGCATTGACAAAACAACTTCCTCTTCAAAAGGAAGATTGACTACTGTTTTGCATGCATTTAAACCTGTATGGCTCCTGCACATGGCCATGGTTTTTAAACTGTGTGGCTCTGCTGCCCTTTGTTGTCCAGCACAAACCCAATCCTTCTGAACAGGGTTTTGGAAGATGACCTCCTTTGACAAGGTCATTTGATACCCTCAGCCCCTACACCAGCCTCAAAGCACGAGACTTCAGCAAACAGCTGCTTTTCTCCAGCCTAGAAATTCCTGATGCTTGCTGAATTTTTGAGGCTAAAATAGTGGAAACGATTTTCTCCTCTTCTCCTTGGAGAGAGAATTCCCCGTATCCTTTACCCACGTGGCATGTGTATAAATATAATCTCCTTTCTCTTCTGGCAGCAATTCAAATCATGGGTTTTATTCTCCACCCCACCCAGATGGCAGTTACAGAATCGGGGCAGGAGGGAAGAAGATCGGAGAGGAAACATATGAAATTTTACTGGCAAGATTTAAAGGGGACGGATAGATAGAAAAAAATATGCAGAAAACAGCTGTCTTCCTCTTAATTTGATCTTTTCAAAAATGAAGTTGCACAAGTGAGAACCACTAGGTGATGCATTTGATTGTAATTGGGTTGCAAAACAGGCTAATTTTTCTTACTGTAGTCACTGTTTTCGTCCTTGGTCCCATCAATTGTACCATCTGGGTGCATCTGCAGGAAGTATTCCTGCTGGCTGAATAACCTTGTCACAATTCCTTTCAGCTGGGGTTCTGCAAAATAAAAATAATAATTATTACCAGATATACTGAGTAGCACAAGACCCAATTTGCTTGTCCCCCATTAAGCCCTGAGTAAATGTAGAAGTGCTTGGCAGCTAAGACTGCTTTCAGTGATTCCTTTCAAGCATGGCTGTGAAATATTCTCATATAATACACAGACAGGCAAACACAATTGAGATCAGATGAGCAGGTAAAATGAAATGCATACTTGGTGCAGTAGAAACAGATTAAGGAACATCAATTCTCTGAAAGGTACCTACCAAATGGAAGTACTTAGACAGTTGATGTATTTAGAATATGCCACTTGTTCAGAAGAGTATTTGCTAACATTGTTGCAAAGAATGTGCTCATTGTTTCTTATTCTGCTTGTGAAGCCAACCACCTTGCTTCTTTGTATGGTTGAGTCACTATCATGCAGTGCCAGTTTTATACCAATGAAAAGCTAAGTAAATCACTGGTATTACAGTGGTGTAAACCCAGAGCAACTGAATGCTGAATCAGGGCTGCATGTGAGTGCAACTCTGTGGGACTTGGGGAGAAAAATTTGGAAAGGGACAGACACAAGACATTTCCAAAACTGACTGCTGAAGCATTTATAGGCACCTCAGACCACCTCTGTTGCAAAATCCTGCATGTTCTCCCCGTCCTAAAACATGTGCCACACACTCTGGCAGATTAGAATTATTTGTTTCAAACAGGGACCTTTCCCAGTCCTGTGTATCATGAGCCAGCCATGCTCTGGCAGGCTCTTCCCTATTGCCTCTACAACATTTTATACTTTCCTGCTGAAGGGTAAAATGAAAACATGAAAAAAAGCAAAGCCAGCTTGAACTTCACATGACAGAGGTGTGCAGCTTTACCACCTGTCTCCTTGTCACCCTACCAATCAAACAAAAACTAAGTGGTCAAAACCAAATTCAATTGTAATCGTGCAAGATTAAAAATTTGTCACAGGCATTGCTGCTGGAACACAAGTGAGCTGACTGTGTGTGAGCAGACACACTTACTGCATGGAGGACATCCTCCTTGTGTGACAGGACTTTGTGGTTTTATGCGACCACCCTCCAAAAGTAAATAAATAAGACCCAATTATTGCTGGCTCAATGGACAGGAAAGAACCCAGCGTAGCATACCAAAATCTCGTCAGGCTCCTGCCTTTCATGCCTCTGGTGAGGCTGTTTAATAAGCCATGCTCGTTACATAACCGTGGTCACGTTGTGTGTTGATGTTCCCATCCGGAGCCCCGCTCCCGCTGCATCCCTGCACGACTCCCCTTTGGGGAACCCTCACCCTGCTCTCCTGCACTGACAGCAGCAGCAGCAGGCATCTCAGATGGAGACAGGCTGCAGGTGCAAAGGATTTCAGTTTCAGCAACCCCTAGCCAGGGGAGAGTCAGGTACTTTCTCACAGCCACAAAAGCCACTGACTAAGTCAGATCAGATGGTTTCTATGCTGCCTTAAAAAAGAAGTGATTTCAGCGCAGTGAGTGCTGTAGGCTGCAGTCAGGCTTTCTCCCAGCAACTCTCAATGCTGGGACAGTAAATAAGCACAATTGTACTGGTCATTAACTAGGAGCTAGTGCTGGTCAAGCCAACATATGTCAAAGTGACACCTAGCAAAACACTTAGCTCATTCTTCTTACCTAAATGCATTACCTATTTTGCTGAATGCAGAAGTTTGATTTAACTTGCTTTTCGTTAGAAAAGCACATCAAAGCTAGAGGAAATGAAAAGCTGCATTCTCAGGCACAGATGCCTGCACCACCCTCCTCAAGTCCGTCCCATTTCTCCCTTTTATCTAATACCACAATAGTAAAGGCACTAATAGGCACTCTTTGATATGAGACACCTACATTTGAGTCCCTGAATGAATCTTAGCCTTAATTTTACTCACTGGTTAAATTTTAATGTTGAAGTACTTTGCATGAAATGGAAGAGCTCCCAGAAGGAGAGATTTAGAAGATGCTCTGCAGTCTGAGGCTTTCTGTATGCTGGAGAAGTGACGAGGTCTTGTCTTAAAGCTCTCTGAAGAGGACCAAGGAGAGAAAACAACCCTGACCTTATCTCTTTTCTTCGGAAGATGGCTTAGCTACAGGATAGAATTACAATAGCACCTTTTCTTCCTTCTTAAGGATGCAAACTATATTTCAACCATGCAAATAATTTTGGAACAGGAAAATCTCTCCCACTTCTACTAAATAGCCTACCATGTAAAACACTGACCAAATCTGCTTGTTATTAATAACTTATGACATTTTCAGAGTTTATCAGAATAGCACCCAAGATCCCCTGATGCTTCCTTACATCCTTTCTATAGATGCAAACACTTGCACCAGAAGGCTGTATCACTATAGCAAATACAGGCTAAACCCTTTCAGGTTCCTTTCTCTTACTGACCTGACACACACCTGGTCAGCTTTAACAACTGCCCTCTTCATAATGCCAGCCATTTCTGAGTCATGGCCTACCTAGGGACAAGTTGGAGGGGAAATCTTGTGTTACATGACCTGGTTTTGCTGAACTTTGAGGCTCACACCCAAACTCAAAAGTAAAACCCAAAGGGAGTGAAGCAGAGAGTTCTCAGCCATACATAAAACCACATTCCTCCTGGCCCTAACACAGTCTGAAAGCAGCAGAGCTCCTGTCTCTCCTCACTGCACAGATGCTCTTCTGCAGGAACATCCCTGCCCACACTCATTTAGGATGCCCTGTAGCAAAAAAATGCCTCTTCCAGACACCGAAGGATCAGAGAGCATTTCAGAGACACACAGGTCTCTACCTCCCTGGTTTTTTCATTTTCTTGGGTCTCTTTCTACAGCAGAGAAGCTGCACTTCCAGGTACCTTTAGCTACCTGAACTAAACACAGGAGCAGTGCAGGGAGGTGCACAGCCAGCACCGAGCTCTCTCCTCTAACACAAGGAGGGCTGGGGAGTCACCTGAGCAATGGGTGATTTGTCTCACCCAGTACAGCCATCTCTCCACCTGAGCTGATCTCTCTTTGCATCCCCAAACCCCCACAGGCTGGCCAGACCAGGTCCAAAGGGTCCCAAAACTACCAGTACCTCTCCAGTGCCTGCAAAGGAAGCAGCTCAAACACAAACAGGTGCACAGGTGACAACAGCTGCTGGAATAGCTGCTTCCCACCAGGGAACCTCTTGTCTTATGTCTGGGCATAAAGTGACGTACTGGGATTTGCCATTCATACAGTAAGCAGTGTGGCTGGTGGCCCACAGACAAAATTTTGGGCAAAGACAACTTTTAACAAGGAGCAAGGAATTACTCATCTTCCCCTCTCAGTATGGAACTATTACCAGAAGAGAAAATTTTATAATCACAGGACGGGAACTTTGCTGCTAGCCCAGAGGTAAAATGCTGCACGTGACTTTTAGGAGACCTACTTTTGTCATATCATATATTTTAACATCACTTCTTTCCATCTACAGAGCAATTCTATCAGTCTTCCAGCACTGCCAACCCTTATGCTCAGCACTTGTGCTGAAAACCTCAGTTTATAGAAAAAAAGCCCTCAAAACCAGTAAGTCTCCTTGTCAATTAAGGATGCTGAGACACCCTGGTAAGTCAGAACAGAAAGACAATGAAATAGACTGAGAACTTTCCAGGCAATAAAAAGAGAACCACCCTTCCCAGCAGATATTATTGACAGTGCTTATTGGAGTACCAGGGGGGAAAAAATACAATAAAACCCCACAACCTCTACACTTTTGTCTGTATTTCCCTCAATGATACTGCTCCAGGCTATATTCAATAAGAGAGAATCAAACTGTAAAATAAAGGGAAAAAATGCAGCACAGATAAGCAAAAACTCTGCTATGAGCACTTTTTTCTATAATTCTTAGAATTTATCACAAAACAAACTTAAACCTACTCTCTAACCTCAGCCTTGTAAAGCAAATGGGACCCAAATCCTCTTGCTTTTAAAGGTGCAATACTGCATAACACACTGGGGATAAACCTATTCCTCCCCCTCAGGCTCATCCATGTGCCCTTCCCTTCTGCTATAGAAGCAGCTTTCCCTGCAGAAATGGAACTGAACTAACATGGATGAGACTTCAGCACCAACTTAGTGTCTCCCTAAACACAAAGTCAAGCACTTCAGAATGGATTTAAGAAAGATGTTCTTGCTGCCTTAATCCCAAACTACTGACTGAAGAGATTTCCATGCAGCTTCTATTCCCAGTGCAAGACTCCAAGCTACAAGGTTTCCCATGCAATATGCAAAGGGATATTTTTATCCCCACTTTATAAGCAATGCTACTATACTTCATAATGTTTACTTTAAAGATCTTGCTCTAGCTGCTCATATACAGCTGTTGAGGGCTGGGGACTACTGGAGAAAAGTCAGTGGACTCTCTTTATGCAGATGCAATAAGCTCAGTTCCTTCCAGTGTGGCAATTCTGGAAGACGCAAGGGAAGATCATGCTCAGGAAGCATCACAATGGGGACATCAGAGTGCAGAACAGGAACAGAGAGCAAGACCTAAGCTGTAACTCTCCTAGTGTGTAGCATCTGTCAGACTGGGCACTTTACCTTCAGTGAAGACACAGTTGTCACCTAATGACCCTTCTGAGGGCAGTCAGCCACTGACAACTCACTAAACAACCCCTGAAGAGCATCTTGCTTGGTTACCCTTTCCACAGTCCAAGCTCACCACTTCTGCCTGCCCTGCTTTTAACTTTCTGAGCCCTCTGGCACAGCTGAGGCTAACTAAATCATGATCTGACTGCTAATCTTCCTGTCTCTACTTAAATGGTAATGTGATGCTGCCATTATTCACTTCTGCTGTCCTGCTGCTGAGCCTTAAAGTCATCTCAGTTCACCATGAGCTGCTGTGCTTCCTGCCTTATTATGCAGCTACACAGTGATCTTCATCCTCCTGGGGCTTGCCAAGGACATGATAGTTGCAGGGTGCTCACATGCACTTTGTTTGATCTCCAGGGGCATGCTCACTGAAGGCCAGAGGATCATGGCT